TGTTAAAGCACATTAAATCTAAAACATATCACTATATAAAAATAAAATCATTAAAAATAAAAATAAAAGAGAAACAAAGCAATATTTAAAAAAGTTAATTATTTATCTATTTGGTACAGGGTCTTGCTAAACAGATCTCACTCAGTGATATCCTCCTATCTCAGCCTCTCCATTGGTGGGATTATAGGCATGTGCCACCACGTCTGGTTTCAGGGCTGGCACAGCATGCAGTATCAGGGATTGAACTGCTTAGACCAGTGAACTATCTCCCCAGCCCTCGGTACATTTTTTAAAATTATTAGAAAAAGATAACTATAATGCATCCTAATTTATTGATTTAACTTGATTTCACAAATAATGAATAATACAACTGTATGCGATAGTTACGCACCTACTGAATCTCACTTACATATTTAATAATTAGATTAAAATGTCTATTGTATCTATATTTTCCCTCTCTGAGTGCCTGTATTAGTACTTCAAGGTTAAAACAGATTAACTTTGGAGAGAAAAGCACATTAAAAGGATAACAATTTTCTTTTTAATGCTTTATATACAGTATATTCTTTTTTATTTTTGTTTTTTGAGCCAAGGTTTTGCTATATATTTTGACTGGACTCAAATGCACTATGTAGTCCAGGCTGGCCTTAAACTCTTGGCAATTCTCTTACTTTAGTTTCCTGCATATTGGGATTACAGGTGAAAAATCAGCTTATTATACAAAATTTTAATCTTCTGAAAAGTGAAAAGGAAATAGTCAAATATTTGTCACTGCTTTTCTCTAATCTTAATATATATGGTATATTTGTCAAAATATCCACAGTGATACTTCACTAAGTGAATCTGAATCTTTATGCAGGTTTTATCTTTATCTATTCCACAGAACCATACTGTATTTGGTATTGGCAATGTGAAAGTTTTTGAAAGGGGAGCAAGAACTATATGTTGGAAGGCCATCTCAAACAAAATAAAAAGTGAAATGCACGAAAATTTCTGTAACAGCCATTTCTACTTAACACATTTCAGACAAAGGAACCCATGTTATAGGTATTGCCGAGACTTTCATGTACTATTTTCTACAGTGGCTTGGTTGTTGTAAACCTTTAAAATGTGCACCTTTCTCTTAGGGAAATAGGGTATAGAAATCACCAAGAAAAAAAGAAAAAAAAGATTTAGTTTTGTGGCCATAAACAGGCAATCTAGTTGCCAACTATTCCTTTTGGTATTATTTACTGACATGAAGGTAATTTTTGTAAGATAGCTATTTTTTTATTTTTAAGTTAAACAACACCTTTTGTACGCTCTCCTTTTAACATGACCAGGTCTTAAAAGGCTACATTTCCTCTCTTCTAAATCTTAGATGGTATTACTTAGTTTACGTGTAACCTGCGGGGCCAAGAACTAGCAGTGGCATCATGGAGAGCCTGCCATGGGTGTCTGGGGCCTAGAGTTAGACTCCTCACTTGTGGAAGAGCCCAGATAATTATAACTCAGTTGTATCTTAAGAGCATTAATGTGAGTCAAACAAAAAAGGAGTGACTAAAATGTCTATTCATCCTTCCATCATAAACTTCTAATTTTGTAACTTTTTTTAGGAATGGCGAGAGGGTTGTGGAGCAAGCACAGAGAAAGGAGCCCAATGAAAATTAGCAAGTAGGCTATAAGATTTTTTCCTTAAAAACTGTACCAGTGGTCTAGAAAAGGGGAACCTGGTGGCTAGATATCTGTACATGTGAAAGGACATTTGAGAGCAAGAGTGCTATTTTTGAACTGGTCAGGTGGATCTTTATCAGTTAGTAAGATGAAAATAGACTAGGCCTGTGTGGCATTCCCAGAATCAGAATGACGATGGTTATTACTCTGACACTTAAGAAATGGTCAAGTTGATAAACTGGCTGGCGCCATTTTAGAACTTTGACAGACTCTGAGCAGCCTGTGAGACTCTAGGTGATTACTGGGAGCTTCAAAACTGCCAAAATGCAGGAGCAAAAGGCAATCTCAATCCTCTAGCCCACCCAGAACAAATTCAGCAGACAAAGACATACAAGAACTTGGAAATCACACACCTGAAATATGATAGCATCTGAAGTAAATAAATGAGTCCATCAGGCTATAGCAGAAATA